CAATCACTTTTTCTGTTATTTAATTTTACCTACCTTATGTGCTCGGTAGGTCTCTAGGAACTGCTCATTATATGAACAAGAACATTTGTGAATATGCCCTTCTTCTGTCCCAGCCAGGTATATATTAGTATTCTGAAACAAAAATCCAGATATTCCAAACTGGGATTCAACCTGTAGGATATTTATCCTGACATATTTAAAGAGCTGTGTGGAGTTTAGGCTGTGAAATTGCTGGGAGATGCTGAGCACTCAAATTCCCACTGACTTCAATGAGAACTGTGTTTGTTCACCTGCCCTTGGGATCAGGCCCAAAGTCAATCAAAGCAACATAATTAAAACTGTAAAACTCACAAAATATAGGGTTTAGCTTGCTTGGTTTTCTCTCTGATCAGTTTTGGGTAAGATTGTTAGCGCTTATGTACATCAGAAGCATTCTATAGCTACTGCTGGAGAAACATGGGCAACTGCAGTGCAAGCTTCCCCTATACCTGAATCCTGATCTCCATTTTTGAACTGTTTGGGGGCTTTCATTAGAGAGTGCCTACAATGCAGAGATCCATGCAGTGAACTTGTGAGACAGGAAAAATTCACTTGGGAAAAAAGAGATTTCCAAATGTGTTTCACTGGTGACGTAAACCAACCTTGAATAAAATCAGCTAAAAGTAAAAGGCAAGTGTATTAATCTTCTGGCACCAGACAGCTTCTCTTTTGAAATTTTCATTCATTCTTATGTGAATATTCACAGTTAGAGCAGCAGTTAGGGCTGGTCTAGCTTATGTCTCCAGAATCCAGGAGACTACTACAACTTAGTGTTTGTTTAAACACATGAGGTGAAATCTTCAGCTGTGATGGTATAGCTCCATCACTGTACACCAGCTGAGGATCTGACCTATAATGTTTTGTTCTAATATATAAAATTTCAGTCAACTGAATTTGAAACATTAATAATCACAATGGATTTCCTGAGCCTACCCTTGGATGAAAGTCAAAGCACATTCCAGGTGCCTGTCGAGATATCAGAGCTTCACTTTTCTTTTCTTTTTCACCAGTTAGTTTTTTCCTTTCACTTGCGGTTCGCTTCAGTTTCATCAGATCTATGCAAATAGACAGTACATGGAATATGAATTTTACATGAAAGAGATAGTGACATATTAGAACATTCTGAATAACTCATAAGTACTTCAGATATTTAACAATTCTGAAATGTTTTATCTATGGGCTGTTTACAGGTATGCTAGCAACAAGAAGAAAGTCAAGGAAAGTGTGGGCCCCTTACTGAATGAGGGAGGCAACCTAGTGACTGAGGATGTGGAAAAAGCTAATGTACTCAATGATTTTTTTGCCTCTGTCTTAACAAACAAGGTCAGCTCCCAGACTGCTGCACTGGGCAGCACAATATGGGGAGAAGGTGACCAGCCCTCTGTGGAGAAAGAAGTGGTTCGGGACTATTTAGAAAAACTGGACGTGCACAAGTCCATGGGGCTGGATGCGCTGCATCCGAGGGTGCTAAAGGAGTTGGCGGATGAGATTGCAGAGCCATTAGCCATTATTTTTGAAAACTCATGGCGATCGGGGGAGGTCCCGGATGACTGGAAAAAGGCTAATGTAGTGCCCATCTTTAAAAAAGGGAAGAAGGAGGATCCGGGGAACTACAGGCCAGTCAGCCTCACCTCAGTCCCTGGAAAAATCATGGAGCAGGTCCTCAAGGAATCAATTCTGAAGCACTTAGAGGAGAGGAAAGTGATCAGGAACAGTCAGCATGGATTCACCAAGGGCAAGTCATGCCTGACTAACCTAATTGCCGTCTATGATGAAATGGCTCTGTAGATGAGGGGAAAGCAGTGGATGTGTTATTCCTTGACTTTAGCAAAGCTTTTGATACGGTCTCCCACAGTATTCTTGCTGCCAAGTAAAAGAAGTATGGGCTGGATGAATGGACTGTAAGGTGGATAGAAAGCTGGCTAGATCGTCGGGCTCAACGGGTAGCGATCAATGGCTCCATGTCTAGTTGGCAGCCAGTTTCAAGCGGAGTGCCCCAAGGGTCGGTCCTGGGGCCGGTTTTGTTTAATATCTTTATTAATGATCTGGAGGATGGTGTGGACTGCACTCTCAGCAAGTTTGCCGATGACACTAAACTAGGAGGCGTGGTAGATACACTAGAGGGTAGGGATCGGATACAGAGGGACCTAGACAAATTAGAGGATTGGGCCAAAAGAAACCTGATGAGGTTCAACAAGGACAAGTGCAGAGTCCTGCACCTAGGACGGAAGAATCCCATGCACAGCTACAGACTAGGGACCGAATGGCTAGGTAGCAGTTCTGCATAAAAGGACCTAGGGATCACAGTGGACGAGAAGCTGGATATGAGTCAACAGTGTGCTCTTGTTGCCAAGAAGGCTAATGGCATTTTGGGCTGTATAAGTAGGGGCATTGCCAGCAGATCCAGGGACGTGATCGTTCCCCTTTATTCGACATTGGTGAGGCCTCATCTGGAGTACTGTGTCCAGTTTTGGGCCCCACACTACAAGAAGGATGTGGAAAAATTGGAAAGAGTCCAGCGGAGGGCAAGAAAAATGATTAGGGGTCTGGAGCACATGACTTATGAGAAGAGGCTGAGGGAACTGGGATTGTTTAGTCTCCAGAAGAGAAGAATGAGGGGGGATTTGATAGCAGCCTTCAACTACCTGAAGGGGGGTTCCAAAGAGGATGGAACTCGGCTGTTCTCAATGGTGGCAGATGACAGAACAAGGAGCAATGGTCTCAAGTTGCAGTGGGGGAGGTCTAGGTTGGATATTAGGAGACACTATTTCACTAGGAGGGTGGTGAAGCACTGGAATGCGTTACCTAGGGAGGTGGTGGAGTCTCCTTCCTTGGAGGTTTTTAAGGCCCGGCTTGACAAAGCCCTGGCTGGGATGATTTAGTTGGGAATTGGTCCTGCTTTGAGCAGAGGGTTGGACTAGATGACCTCCTGAGGTCCCTTCCAACCCTGATATTCTATGATTCTATGATACACAGGGAAATTGCCTGGAATAAGGTATTGTGCAATAGCCCAGTGTAGAAAGTCCTGAGAGAATAGGCTTACCAGTGCAGCTTAGTCCTTTGCGTATAAGCCACTTGGTTATTCTGCCATCTGCTGAGATAGAGATTAATATCTCTCCTTTGTCATCTCCCGTTGTGCCCCTGTCCTGTTCAATCCACTTCAGCTGCCATACAGGGCCTATATGCTTATCAAAAGATTCACTGAAATAAAGGAACGCACAAACAGAGCTATAAGTTAACAGAAATAAGGGAGAATGCATTTTTTAAAAGTTACTACATAAGCAACAAAACTGGTGTGTGTTTAACTTAGGAACAAACACTCTGGAGTGTGGGCATGTGTTAATTGGTTATTTTCATTTTCATGGGAGGTGTTGTTTTAATTTTCATGGGAGGTGGGGAAGGTCTAGGTTGGATATTAGGAAACACTATTTCACTAGGAGGGTGGTGAAGCACTGGAATGGGTTATCTAGGGAGGTGGTGGAATCTCCATCCTTAGAGGTTTTTAACAAAGCTATGGGTGGGAAGATTTAGTTGGTGTTGATCCAGCTTTGAGCAGGGGGTTGGACTAGATGACCTCCTGAGGTCTCTTCCAAGCCTAATCTTCTATGATTCTATGAAAAGTCAGAGTTTTAAGACATGTATCTATTGTTTTGAAAAGTTGTTTTAAAAGTACATTTTAGAAAATATTTTTACATATTTAATTATAGAATAATGTTTAAATGACTGAAGCACTTTTCTTTAGGTATCCAAATCATTGTACTGGTGCTGCTTCATGGTTGGCCTAATCTAGTCTTTCATGGACATTTATATATATCAAAGTCTTCATGTCTGACAGTTTCTTTTCAAGTAAGTCCCAGGATTGTAGGTGGGTACAGTGTAAGTGTTTCAAATCAGAATTGAGAGACATTAGCAAAGCTGGGAAGCGGGGAATTATGCAGCACTTCCCTGCCTTCACTGAATCCACTTTTTCAAGAGCACTACTGTTCACTCGTTTATTTAAATTTTAGCAATGGAATGAATGTCCACAACTAACAAGACATGAAAGAAGTGCAACAAGGTGGGGAGTTTGTAATCTTACCTGCTGTCCAAAAGTGCGGTGGTATTATGAGTCTGTACATTATAGATGGCTACTGTGCCACTGTACATTCCAACTGCTAAAAGGTTTGGGTTTGCCAGAGAGAAATCCAGTGCAGTAACACCATGATCACATTGATAAATACGCTCTGGCCACTGAACAGAAGAAAACAACACATTTATTTCATTCTTCTATTAGCTAATTGCTAGACTAACCACTATTTTTCTAACACTACAAATGCTTTACCAGGTTCAACTTTAAGACAATATTCTAAATAACTGAGACTATTATTTCCTGCTATGGTTGTCAAATTTGAAAGGAGCGCTGTGCAGAAATGTGACTTTTGTATTGTAAATTGAATTAGAGATGGGTTTAAAGTGAACCGTATAAGTGACTACAATTTCTCTGAACTTTGGAGGGTTGGATAAAGTGGGATGGGATCCAGAGCCCCACTACAACCTAAACCTGACATTTGAAAAAAAGCAAACCACCACTTCTAATTTTTGCCCATCTCACAATTTAACATCTAATCTTCTCTGCTTTTTATTCATGTGCTTTTCTAATCAGCAGAAGTTTAGTTGGAGGTAAACTGTAATGTAAGGTAACTTAGGTAGTTTAAGCCAGAGTGCTATGTTCATGCAATTTACCTTTTATAGACTGCAACTAAAGAATTGCATTGCCTACATGGACCAAATTTAGCCTGTGTTGTAAGAAGATGCAACTCTACTGAAGCCATTGAATTTAACCATTGTCATCAGGGTATTAGTCTGAAAATAAGCATGTTTCAATATATGTCAGCTCTTAATTCTGATGCTTATGCACTCAGCTAATGTAGAGATGGGAGCCATATAAGTAACTTGATTATCGTTGATCTGTACTGTGTTAATTTCATGGTACCATAAACACTGATGTGATAGAACATCTAAAACGTTAGAGGGAGGAAGGCACCAGTTAGAGGCTGATTCTGTACTCCTTAACTCCCTATAAAACCTTGGCTTTAGCCTGAGTAATGTTTATAGCAGCACCATTATTTGAATTTGATTGTGAGTATTCATTTTTACTGTGTTTAAAAAATGAGATTTTCAAGAATCAAAAATGTAAAACAAATATTGAGCCAAATCATTTTAGACCTTTACAAAACCATCTAGTACATGGGTGGGTAAACTTTTTGGCTGGAGGGCCACATCTGGGTATGGAAATTGTATGGCGGGCCATAAATGCTTATGAAATTAGGGGTTGGGGTGTGGGAGGCGGGGAGGGCTCCAGCTGGGGGAGTGGGCTCTGGGATGGGGCCAGAAATGAGGAGTTCAGGGTACAGGTGGGGTCTTCGGGCTGGGGCAGGTGGTTGAGGGGGTGAGGGCTCCTGCTGGGGGTGCAGGCTCTGGGGTGGGACTGGGGATCAGAGGCTGGGGGTGCAGGAGGGTGCTCCAGGTTGGGACCAAGGGGTTCAGAGGGCTGCAGCAGGGGGTTGGGGCCCGGGAGGGGGATAGAGGTGTAGGCTGCAGGCAGTGCTTACCTCAAGCAGCTCCCGGAAGCAGTAGCATGTCCCCACTCCGGCTCCTATGCAGAGGCATGGCCAGGCAGCTCTGTGCGTTGCCCTGTCCGCAGGTGCCGCCCCTGCAGCTCCCATTGGCTGTGGTTCCCGGCCAATGGGAGCTGTGGGAGCCATGCCTGGGGCGAGGGCAGCGTGCAGAGTCCCCTGGCTGCCCCTACACGTAGGGCCTGGAGGGGGGACACGCTGCTGCTTCCGGGAGCCATGCGGAGCGGGGCCAACCCCTGACCCCGCTCCCTGGCTGGAGCACCGGAGTGGGGCAAGCCCTGGACCCTGCTCCCCAGCGGGAGCTCGAGGGCAGGATTCAAACATCTGAATGGCTGGATGTGGCCCCCGGGACATAGTTTGCCCACCCCTGATCTAATATGATGCAATTATCTCAACAGTTTGGGTGACTTCAAATTTGTCTATATAATCAGTTGTAAAGGAGCTAATAGTCACAGACACATAGGGGCAAGTCATTATATAGTGCAATGTGGATCTTGGGGTTTGAAGTGCATTTGAAGTGAAAATTAAATATTATGGGAATAGTAAATGAATGTAACAATTCATTTCAATACAAATGTTATTGTATTCTATCCTATAGATCTGATTTTTACAGGCATTTCACCTTTTTTAGTTGCACTGCCCAGCTTACTACACTTAGGGCCAAATCTTGCTCATCTCCCTCAAAGGTAGTCTCACTGAAGTCAATAATATTTGTGTGCAAGCAAGATTTGGCCCTAAAGATGTAAGTATATAAGCGTACCGGATTTTAGAACCTCTCTTCCAGGAACTATCTAGCAATTACATACTGAAATTAGAATAATTTATAGACCCTGAGGTCCTGATCCTGCAAACTTTTAGTCATATAAAAGCTTGCAGAAATGGACAAGTGTATAAGAAATAGCATAGCTTTTAAAGAAAATAATACAATGATAATAAAAATACATTGCTTTTATTCCAATCCTAGATCTGAAATGACGTCAAAAAGGAAAGTATGGCTATATCTATACTGACTTGCAGTCTGTACTATGGGGTGTGAGTGTGCACCAAAATACTGCACTATAGTTCCCCAGGGTGGACATTCCAGGTGCGAACTAAAAGGTTCCTAAATTTCATTAATGTAGACCTGTTAACATAGTCCTCTTCGAGCACAAACTAGGAACCTTTTGGTTCACACCCACAGTGTCCACGCAAGGGCATTACAGTGCAGCACTTTGGTGCGCTCTACTATTCACACCCCCGTAATCCAAGTGTGGGGCAACGTAGACAAGCCCTACGTCTTACTGTCCGGATTTTACAGATGGGGAAATTCAGATCTAGAGAGATGAAGTTACTTGTCCAAGGTCACACAGCAGGTGCGCACAAGTGGCAGTGCTGGGAAGAACCCAGGCACATCTATGCACATCTCTGTTACGTATTGAGAAGGGAACGCCTCAGATTGGAGCAAAATTGAAAGAAGAGAGTTACAGAAATATCCAGTTGCCTAGCCAGTCAGGGCTGTCTCTAGACATTGTGGTGCCCTACGCAGCCCCCCTGTGGGAGGAGCGGGGGACTGTCCCCAGGCCTCCGTGGGTGGGAGGGGCAGTGCCCAACATCTGTAGGGGGCAGGTGGGAAATCGCCCCCCAGCACAAGCCGGTGGAGCAGGTTGGGGCCGGGTCGCTTTACTTCCTGCCACTCGGTGAGTGCAAGGCGCGCCCGACCCCTGCTGCAGTCCCCGGGGATGTAACTCAGGGGAAGGGGTGGGGTTGGGGTGGAGCAGTGGTGGGAAGGGGCAGGAGTGGGGCGGGGTTGGGGTGGAGCAGTGGTGGGAAGGGGCAGGAGTGGGGCGGGGCTGGGGCGGAGCAGGGGTGGGAAGAGGCGGGGTGGGGGTGGAGCAGGGGTGGGGGCAGCTTTCCTGGCCAGTTCAGGCAGCGGGGCGGATCAGGCTGGAGGCTGGAGCAGCATGCAGCTGCGTAGTTTGCGTATGGTTAAGGACGGCCCTGTAGCCAGTTATTGTCTGTTCTTTACTCCCATCCCAGAAGTATCTGAATAAGAGCATTTTCCCTGATAGGTTATCTTCTTTTTTATTTGATTTGGTAATGAACTCAGATTTGAGTTGGTGACATTAGAGTGTTTCCATGGAAATCTGCATCATGGCTGGGGCTGTGTGAAATATTTACAGTGAAGTTTGAAAACTTCAGGATGAGGTTTCTGCATTTTGTTTTGATTTCAGAAAATGTGATTTTGTGAAAAATTGATAGTTTTCACATTTCTGAGTGAAAATTATTCTATATTAAAAGAAAACCCTCAATTTTCATTTTTTTTAATTCAAACATTTGTTTTGGCAAGGATCACTATTCTCACAGAAACATCACATTTTTAAATGTTATCTTTGAAATCTGCTGTTTATTGAAAATATCATGAAAAGTTACATTCTGCAGATGTTGAAATTAAATTTAAAATACCTCCTTTTTTTCATACAGCGCAAAATTTATTGCAGATGAGAAGATGGACTGGGAAGGGGAAACCCTACATTTAAAATACAAATATCCTGAATTTGCAACTGTAGGAAGATTATGGGAAAACAAATGCAAGGTAAATAATTTTGGTTTTATATTTGAAATGCTTAAAAGAGCTTTCCCCACAGTATGAAAATCTTTATAGGAGGAACCACACACCTGGATCTAATCCAGGTAATAGCTAACCTGATTAATTCACAATCTTGGCTAGGGGATTGGAAACCGGATACAGAGTTTTTCATTCTTAGGTTGCCCAGTCTAAGGCTATGACTGTGCCACTTATAGCGGCACAGCCATGCTGCTAAAGCCTTGCCACTGTAAGGCACATAGAGTAGCCACTCTTTTTGTTGCCAGGAGAAAGCTCTTCTGATGACAAAATAAAACCATTCCCAATGAGGGGTGGTAGCTACATCAGTGGGAGAGTGTCTCCTGTCAACAAAACACTGTCCACAGCAGCGGTTTTTGTCATTAAAACTTTTGTCCTTTTTGGGGGGGGGCGGGGGGTGTTTAACGACGAAAGTGCAGTGTACACATAGCCTAAGTTGGTTTAAATTGACTGTTCTAACCAGCAGTTTGATGGTCTTTGTGACATGAGTTCAGTTCCCTGTGGACAGATGTCCATATTACAAAACCACAGTACAGAGGATGAATGGGCACAGAGGCTAAGCTACTTTCTATAGATGCTTCCTCCAGGTGAAATCTGAGGCACATGGGCAGGCTATTGTGGAGGAAGTGTGCAGTACCCTTGTTCCCTTTGCTGTAACTGTCCTGTGAACAAGATCTTTAGTCTCCAGTGTTTTCTAGCATCTTTCACCAGCAGTAAGGTAGTTTAGACATTTTAAAAATAAGAAGAATTGTTAATTATTATCCATTTTCCAGGGGTTTAGTCTGGGCCAACAAATTAACATTACTGCTATATGTCTTGCTTTCTCAAGCAACAGGAAACTCAATGATCTGCTATTAAATCATACAAAATTATTACAGCCAAAAAAAAATTATTAAAGTAACAAGAACTAAAATAAATTGTGCTTTATCTCTACTTGTGTTACCATAGGGTTCTTGAGTGACCAGCAGCAAGCCAAGCCTTTCTTCTGTTCTTGAAAACCAAACTGCCCATAACCAACAGCCAAAAGATCCTAAAACCCAAAAGTACAGATTGGTGGATATACTTCAATTAAAGCAGAAATTTAAAGCTAGAATTTTAAGTGGCAGCTTTCTGCCAGCAGTTAAGTGCGCAAATCCTTCTACTTAGATAACTTAGTACCAAGTACAGAGTACACAGTCTCAGTAATGTAGTCAGATAAGCAAAGTAAAGTAAATAAGATTACTCTGAGCGTCAAATTCTAATGTAGTATGTGCAAGGCACTACTCACTATGCATGAATGAAAATTAATTGCAAGTGCAATTTTAGTGAGCACAAATTGTGCCCACAAAAAAGGCAGGCCCCTATAAAAATCTGCCCATTTTATATAGATGTATATAAAGTGTTTTATAAACTTATGTTAATGTGCAGTATTTGATACAATCTGGTAAATGTTTCCAGGGCTTAATATTTCAAGGAGGGAAGACAAATAATATTTTTATCATTGCCTCTGCTATTTACACCTTGTGGTTTATAAGTAACAAGCAAGGAACTTGGCAGCAAGGACCTTACTCTTCAACTCCTTTAAATTGTATTCCTCTACACAAAACAACCTTTTTTTTGTGAAATGAGCATTTCGAAAATAAGCATCTAATGGTCTTGCAATTCTTAGTTTGTGGCTAGTCAGTATAAACATATGGATCAGTACCCAACAGGCCAACAGATTTATATCAATTTACATCTGAGGATCTGGCCCAAAGACTTTATACGTGGCCATATTTCCTCCCCTTTTCCCCTGAGGCAGTCTGATTGTTTTTATATTCCTCCTCACCCATTTTTACCTTCTTCCCCTACATTGTTATTTTTGTTGTCACCATGGGAAAGCTAAATCAGAGAAGTGAGATGTATACTGCTCTGACAGTAGAGTGCTCTGAGGTCATTCTGACCTCCACAGGAAGTGAGTTCTATCATCTTGTACCAGCTGCTGTGAAAGCTGTGCCTGTCATTCTCATGAGTCTTACTCTCAAGGTTGTTGGTGTCCTCATTCCTGAGAAATGCAGCGATCTAGGGAGATCATTGTCACAGAGCAAGAGGTGGTCCCTATACCATCTTGGATCAATGCCATGAATGGTCTTAAAGATTAGTACAGAGATTTTTAATTTGACCCAAAATTCTATAACCAGTGTAGTTATCTGAACATCCTGGTTAAGCGCCCTTTGAGACCAGTGCTGCTGAGAAGGTAAGCTGCTGCATACTGAACCAACTGAAGATCTCCAAGGTAGATTTGCTCATTCTTAGAAATGGTGAGGTGCAATTATCTATCCTGAAGATCATGAAAGAGTGGATCAATGCGGCTAAGTCAGCATATGGCAGAGGAAGATACAGACTGCAGGAAGCAACCACCACCTGTCTGACCTCAGGGATGAATCCCTCCCTGTCACACATCTACCCAGCATCTTGAACCCTACTCCCAAGCTAGTATTTTACCTTGACAATTACCCATCCAATTCTAGAAAAAAGGTTAGAAGAATAAATTTGGTAACTCACTGGGTTTAACTTGTTCCAAGCCATACTGCTCACATTGTGGCCATTAGTCCACTCACATGTATAGGACCACAGTCGTTCCAGACTGGGCGGTAAGATTTCTTCTGGTGCTTCACTTAGATCTAACAAAATTGATGAACTAACTACTGTTTCCTTTTGCTCTTCCTCCTCTTCCTCTTCCTCCTCCTCCTCTTCTGCTTCCTCTGTTTCTCCTTCCTCTTTGCCAGCATCAGATGTAAGAACTGGTTCTAAATGCAACAAATACAGTAGAATCGTAGTAGTACTCCACTAATCTGCAATCCTGCTAATTCTGACCAGAAACACAGTGATCTCATCCCACTTCTCAGCAAAGATTTCATAGCAGAGAACTGTAATGAAGATTCAGAGAACTAATTTTTCAAAATTTGGCCAACATCTTTGTAGGATCATAGGAACTAGCATTCTGGATCAGACTAGCGATCCAGATAGTCCAATGTCCCATCACCAATTGTGTCCAGTACTGGATGTTTCATAGGAGGGTTCAAGAACCCTGCAGGAGGTAGTTATAGGTTAACCTACCCTCCCCCCAAGGAAAGTTTCCTCCTATTTACTGGTTAATCTAAGTTGTAAATTTTTCAACATTGATGCCAAATTTTATGGATCCAGGTTTGAAAATTGTCACCATAGCACATTTAATGGTTACTATGAAATGTTATAATTACAGTAAAATTGCATTTGTCAATATAAATGTGCAAAGTATACTTATATTTCATTTGTTAGGGGTGGGTTTTTTTTCTGCTTAGTTGCCAGTTAACAAAATTTGCAAATCTGGAAGGGCTGTCAGGTCATTCTTGTGAAGTAATATGGATCTACTGTAGACTTTCAAATAGGAACTGGCACCTAACTCCCATCTGAGATTTTGAAAATCTTTCCCTTATCTACTTCCCTGATTTTTAAAGCATCAAACAAGAGCAAATACCACTCTGGAATTTATGCTATTAGAGGATGCAAGATTTGAAATTTTTGATGTGGGGATAAGTGGGGCAAAAGCTAAGTCTGCAAGCTCTTCTGGGCCCTTTAAAATGCAGGGTGTGTGTGTGGTGGGTTTCCCCCCTCTCCTCCCTAAAAAATTGAATTTATTGCTTGTGGTCAGTGTTGGATTGACAGCTTGGGAAACTTGAAGCCCTCTGTCTGGTGAACAGGTATAACAGGCCTCACTTCATATGTTTTTAATCCTTATTTTAACTGGACCTCCCCTAAGGGGTAAAATGGTAGTTCAGTCTCTCCCCCGTCAGTTCTTGGCTTCTTTATTGAAGATTGCCAACAATAGTCCAATAAGTGACACTTATGATCTGCAGTGAATCCACCTTCTCATTTTGCATAGGCACTGAACAGCCATCAGATGATTAAACTTTTACTGCCAGTCTGGCCTGAATTTTAATCTGAGCTGAGCTGAAAGACTGTGTGTTCTAGTGAAGAGCTGTAATACCAAGAAAACATACTAACCAATCATATCTAGCACTTTTCAGAAGTAGACCTCAAAGTGCTTTACAGAGGAGGTCAGTATCATTGTTCCCATCTATCAAATGGGGATAAGCCAAGGCACAGGGTGGGGAAATGATTGGCCTGCAGTCACCCAGCAGGCTAGTGGCAGAGCTAGGAATAGATCCCAGGTCTTTTGAGTCCCAGCCCAGTGCTCTGTCCATGAAGCCATATTGTTTCTGGAAGCTCAAGATCCAGTGTAAAAACTAGTTTGATAAATACTGTGGAAACCAGTCTCAGTTTATTGCTGTTAATAGTGGAGATGAGCCAGCTCAAGAACCATTTAGCCAAAGCTCTGTGTATATTTTTGGGGGGATGGGAAGATGGAGCATAGTACTGAACAACCCCAGTTTGGGTTTTGCAAATCCTTCCCCAACCTTTGTCTTTATTTAACAGAATTGGTTCCTCTGTCAAGACTTCAGAGTAGGGGCATCTTTACTTGGTATATTTGTTAGCATGCAAAATAGGCTCCTTCATATTGAGAATGACATATCTGATGAGAATATACCTATAAGGACAGGAAGTTGCCGATAAGCTGCAAGTTTGGGCTGAAAAACATTCTCCATTAGAACTCTTTCCATAAAAAATAAATCCTGCTGAAATTTTTCTGATTTTAATATCGCTTCAGAATGGTCTTCCTCTTCTTCGTGGATTCTGGCAAGAATAACACTTTCCAAATCGATTATAGAACTTGAGGTTATGCTCTCTGGAAAACCAACAGATAATATTGAAAAAGGCAGGTTTAGCTGGATAATCCAATATATTTCACAGGCAAAAGCCAGAAGAACCACCCCACCCCAGAAAATCTTGTCATCAATAAATATCTCCACTATTAGCTTTTTTTTAGTTCTTTAGTTTTGTTTTCTTTGTATTTCCAAAACTCTATCAAGTAGCCATGTAATACAAAGTGTCTACACTACAATCTCTTAGGGCTAAATTCTGCCCTAGTGTCTGTGTGAATCCCAGATAATGGGACCCATGTGCACGTATCTAAAGGGCAGAACTTAGTTCTCATTTAGGATATACAAGTTAAACAGGTGATGGGATAGACCAGCAGCCTCTATCAAGCTCGGTTCCCATTCCTCGTTTGGGTGGATAGAGTGGGCTGCTGGAATGGAGCCAAAAGAGGCTCCACATGGTCCCTGCACCGGCTAAATTCTGGGAGCTGGGGAATGCTGGCCAATCAGCCCCTCTCTCCCCCTCTGGCCAATGCATGCTAGAGATTCCCAAGGGGAAGGAACTACCTATTATCTCTTGGCAAGTGTCTCCCTCTCTTGCTACTGGGACCATCCCCCTTTCACCGCTGACCCCATGAGTTCCCCACACCCATTGATGTGCGTGGGTGGCATTTTTGTTTAAAAGAGAAAAACAAACTAACTTTAAGATTTTTTCCCACATGTTTTAAAAAGAAACTGTTTTTTTGTTTTTGTTTAAACTTAAATTTAAACTCAAACATTGCAACATGAGGCCCAGGACATAAAACCAATTAGAATATAACCATAAATACAAGTAAAGGTGACTATCCATTTCCATTGTCCATGCTGAGTGATGAGCAAAAAGTAAACTGCATACATGGTGGAAAGTACCATGATTTTTTTTAATTTGTTTTCCAGTTTTAATATTCTAAGGTAATATTAAAACTCTAATAAAGGAAATTTGATTTGACAGCTATTGTTTTTATTCTGACAAGTGTCCCTTTAAATAAGGTGACAGTCTTATGATTCAGCCTGTAAAGCCACACCAGGCCATGAGGGGGATGGGTTAAGAGTGCTTTGGAGGCAGCATACTGAGCATACCCCACAGAGGAAAGTGTTTCACATCATTAAGTAGCAACATCTCTGGTTGATTAAAGGAACAGCCATGACAGGCTTTTAAGAGAGTCCTATCTGGGTCTCAGCTGAGGAAAAAAACGGTTAGAAGGCTTTGATGGATGTCCAAGACTCAAGGGAAGGACAAATGCTGTCCAATCTGGTTGGGTTTGTTTTGTTAACTGAGGACCTGGATGAACTGCAAGACTGCAGCCTATTTCTTGTAATATACATTATAGCCTTTATATCTGGTAAAAGTGAGCATAGGAATTTATGGTCAATAATTGCTGAGGGTTATAAAAATTGTACAGTATTGTCTGAGAAATAGTATGTGACCCTGTTTGCCCATACCCATGTGTACCATCCTGAAGTATATGATTCTACAATGCGTAGCTAAGGTTGCAGAGAAACGTGTAATATAATATTGTATTTTTTTAGGTGTGGTAGTGACGATGTAATAAAACACTATCATAGTTCTTACACAAAAGGGGACAGAGTTAAGGTTCTGCATGCCACCTTAACCCTGTTATTTTTTTACTTTAACTTTGAATGCTAAATTGTGCAGTTTGAACATGTTCTCAGTATAATTTTTATAAAAATACAGATAATCACAACTTTATAAGGAGAAAAACACTGTAGAAATTTAAACCTAGAAAGAAAAATTACCTCTGTCTGTAGAAGTCGTAGACATGGTTCGTTCACGGTCTTTGGTCACATTAGATTTACTGCTACTCAAACTTGTTGGTCTGCTACTTCTTTCCGTTACTGAAGATGTAAGCGTTGTTTCCAAGGCATTAAAGGAATCATACAAGTCCCAAGAAGTGGCCATTATCCCTAAAAATGAATTACACAATACCATAGCACAGTAAGTTATGAACTGACGAGTCAACCACACACCTCATTTGGAACCGGAAATACGCAGTCAGGCAGCAGCAGAGACCAAAAAAAAAGCAAATACAGTACAGTACTGTGTTAAACGTAAACTACTAAAAAATAAAGGGAAAGCAGCACTTTTCTTCTGCATAGTAAAGTTTCAAAGCTGTATTAAGTCAGTGTTCAGCTGTAAACTTTTGAAAGAACAACCATAACGTTTTGTTCAGAGTTATGAACAACCTCCATTCCTGAGGTGCTCATAACTGAGGTTCTACTGTATTGTGCTTCTAAACATTTACTGTAAAGCACTAAAATGCAGGGAAATATTAGACTTTTTATAGGAGATGCCAAATCTCTTCGGTAAAATGGTACAGAAACAGTGTCAGACAAGTTTGCAACAACAGCAACTGTGGGGCTGTCATGGGTGTACTAACGTCGACTGTGTGTAGGGTCTCCCATCAGTGTGTGTGTCCATCTCCTATTAAAAAACTTTAATAATACTTAGCATTTATATACCCATAAGTCTTTATGTATTCAACTTTACAAAACATCAACTAATTGGAATGTAGAATAATCAGAATTACAGATGCATATAATGTGGAGAATATACTGCTAGTTCATTTCTGTATCTAATCTATACACATATATGTGAACATCTATATGTCCTCTCTACTTTTTCTACAATACTATCCTTTTACATGTAGTTTATATACATTAAATAAATCAAAGAAATAAGATTTAGAGCACCATTCCCCACAGCCATTCTTTTGCCTTCTTCATAAAGAAAATGCCATAAGTGGGTGATGAAATTTGGATAAACATCTAAAAGCCTGCATACTTGTCCAAATTTGTCTAGAAAACTGAGGCAGAAGTCTTATAAGACAGTCTTCTCCTATGTTTGCCAGGACTTCCTGGTTTGACTGAGATTTGAAATCCTGTGAAAGAGCTTCTCCATGCTACCATACTGTGCTATCTTCGCCTAGAGCTGAAACCAGAGCCACTGGAAAAGTTAAGGACAAAAAAGGAACAGCATTTTCAAATCTCAAAAAGATGTTTAGTTTGAGTTTTGGATAGTTTTGCCTTGCCAGAAGTACTCTGCCTCTGTGGTGCTGAGACAGACAGAATACAAAGGGGGAGAGCTCTTAGCAGAAGCAACTACTATATCCTTTCAATGGATGAATGTGCTGCTCCCTGGACCAGTTTCTAAATGCTAGGAGTAGGAGGTGTAGAAGTGAGGCAGGGGCCCTGCTGATGCTGCTATCCCATCTCCTGCTGCCACATCTCTGTTGGGATGCAGATTACTTCAGGCCACTCTACCATACCTTCATCTTATGCTCAGGAAATGCAAACACTAACGTTCTGGCTGGCTGCTGCATGGGTGTATAAGCAAGGAAAGGACTCCCTGATAGAGCTGCTCAGGAATTTTTTGACAAAACATTTTTATGGAAAAAATACTTATTTGACTGAACTGAAACTTTCTGCAGGAGAAAGAAATTGAGAAATTTCTCATTGTAAAGAATATTTGTGAGGTTTAGGAAGTGTCAAAACATTCCACTTTGAAATTTTCTAAACAAAAAATTTCAGTTTTCCAGTTTGAAACAACCCTTCAAAACATTTTGATGGACCCAAACCAAATTTTCTTTTCAGATTTTCAGACTGCAAAAATTTTGAGACTTTAAATTTTCATCCCAATTTGGGGCAGGAAAAATTATTGAAATCACAAAAATTTTGGCAGGACAGGAAAACCATCTCCCACCCAGGTCTACTTCCTGAACTCTTCGTTAGCCTGCTTATACACCTGCACAAAAGTAGCCTCGACCAAGTCGCATGGTCTTTCTTTAATTTTAGTGTTCTCCTGAATATGTTTCATAAGTAATGAATAATCTAAGTTTAATCACTAATAAGTCACAATAATAACAATTAGCAAATGTACAAAATGTTTAATGGGAAAGGGCTCTTAAGCAATATTTGCTATATTTATCACTTTTTTGAATGATAATTTACCTTTATCCTCCATGAGGATTTTCTCACATTGCACTTCTTTATTCTTTGGTGCTCCATTAAGCGTTTGCATCATCCTTTCCACAAAGCGATCATTACCAACTCTATTTTTACAAAGCTCAATATAATCCTTGTTCCGTTCCCTTTGAAAAATTACATACATGTTAAAAAAACCCAAATCTATCCATATTAAAACTACACATTGCACAGGACATGGTGTTTTCAACTAAAGTCTACTGCTTCTGTCTCTTTCAATTAAAAAGGTTTTATTTGGCTCCAAATATTCCCTTGCAGTGGTTGCTACCCTAACGTTGCCACACTGTTTAGATCAGAAAAGTATTATAGAGATGGGCCTGAGCCAAAACACCAGATCCAAACATCCTTGAACTTTGGGGAAATTCAGATACAGTTCTGAAATTTGTAGCTCTGGCCCATCTCTACTACAGAGTGAAACTAACTAGATGCTGCCTAAATACAAAAGTGAAAGTGATTAATCTATATTGTCTAGTCTCTAATAACTGCAGAAATAGTGAAGAGGAAATGTCTTTTTTTAGTTCTTTCAGTTTTAATACTCAAAAGGCAGAAGTGGATTATACTAAGCCTGAATCTACCAACAGTTTGGTCATCTTCCCCCTGAGGAGTGGGAGATCCCTCTTCAAATTCTTTCTCCCCCATCAGGCAGAGAGGGAGTTGAACCCAGGGCTCCCACATCAGAGGTGAGTGCTCTAATTATTGGGTTGCTAAAACATGTATGATGGGTAGCACTATCACCACCTGCTTCTCCTTTGGCCAGATTTTGAATGGGACCCAATCTAGCAGGCAGTCTCTGAGCATGCCTACCAGGTAGGGCCTCGCAGACAATAGAGGTAAGCCTATCTTCCCTGGTTTGGTGAATCACTCTGGGGCTTAGGTGGGAGATAAGCACCTGGACACCTACACTGAGGCAGCAGTGCGCATACCCAGAGGCAGACATTTAGGCAGAGGAAATGTTTATTCTGAAAATTTAGGTGCCAAGTTCGTTTAGGCACCTACAGGGAACGGCTGGTGTATGTAAACCCCCAAATTTAGGCACCTAAGTCTGGGGTTTAGGCACCTACGTACCTTTGTGAATTTAGCCTAAAATGCCAAAGTGGAAATTAATTAGGTGCAGCGGAGCCTATTTAGGCTCTACACTTTAAAAAGGGGTTGGGTTACTTTAGTAGTAGAAAGAGACAGCAGCCTCAGGGAAACATAAAGATTATCTAGTTTGTTGGTTTATACATTTGTTCAGGAATTACTGACTGAAAAGCTACATGGAAAGCACACATCCAGAGTCTTTTGCCAAACTGGGGGAGGGGGTGTTGTTTTTTAGTAAACCTGAACTGCTGTAAATAAACCAGAAATCCCAGAACAGTTTTTCTGTATCAAAACCTAACTCCTGTAGGCTCTCTAGCCATCTAGAACCTGATCCTCCCACAAACGTACTACCAAGCACAGCATTTACTACAGTGAATAACTGCCTTAAATGCAAGCATTTGCAGAATGAGGCTCTAAATCCTTTCTACAGGTTGTTGGTTGGTTTGTTTTTTAAGAAAACAAACATCCTTTCCTGTGTTACTAATACCATATAATGTTTATCTGAGTGTGTCCCTTTAATGTTTGGATTAAAAGTCTGATTTTCCTATGTTTACATAGCACAGCTACATAATAAATGCATTTTAAGCAATAAAAACTGCTCCTGTTCTTCCTCCTAGCATGATGATGGGGCTCCAACTGATGGTAAATAATTAAAGATTGACATTTGTTTTTGAAAGCCTTTTTACTTGGGTAAAGGGAAATGATTTTTTAAAATAAAACATTCATTTTAGTAATGGGTTTTGTTGTCACTAGGATACTACCCACCCCTGCTTTTCACTAACTGCTTTATCTGCCCCAGTAGGTGAAAGGTCTAAATTCAGTCAGCAAGACAGCGTAAAGAAGACTAGCTTGTCATGTTTAGAGATGGAAGCGAGTACAGTATGGCATTTAGACAAAAGTCATCTTGTGAAATATAGGTAGTAAAGACCTTGATCCTGTATGTTCATGAGCCCTTTCAACTCTCTGAAGTCAATGGAAATTGAGGGCATTGAGCATATTGTGGCTCGGGATACCAAAGTGTGTGTGAAATTGTAAATATACATACTGCACTTTTTCAGCATCTTCAGATTCTACAGACATCATGACAGTTGGCATGTCCAATAGCCAGATAGTTTCTGTCTCCGTGAGGTAAATATCCACTCTCTTATCAATGTCTTCTTTTGTCAGTTGTTCTTTTATCTCATCTCGCCTCACCTGTACATCTGTCAAATTATATAATGTGAAAATGAAAATATTTTTCTGTTCTAAGATCAAAAGAGGAAAACTTAACTGTAAAAAATAATAGTGTTGACTTGGAGTCACATACTGTGGGGCACTGAGCTCCTCGAGTGGTGCTCAGCACCCCTCAACTTCTACCGACTTCAGTGTCTCCCAGAATCATGCTTCAAAGCCAACAGTATGAATCTCTGTAATTACAACAGCACATTTTCTTTACCAGATAAGCTAATAGCTGTGTCTCGTCTAGAACCAGGCTCTACTATTTCATCTGCCATAGACTCAGTTGTAGATGTTGATTTAGAAATACTGCTGCTTCCATATGTCCTTTAATAACAAAGAAATATACAGAAATAAAGTCCAGAAATGGCAATATTCAAAATAATACAAAAATAATGAATTACTGGTAGTAGGATAGCCAAGTCACATTACATAGTGATTGTGCATACAGCAAATGCTTGTGTCACAAGAGAAATCCTAGAAAGACACTGGAAAGAAAATAAATTTGTTTAAAAGAGTTAATAAATTAAGACTTCATCTGAGAGAGTATCCTATGGTACTGAAAAGATGATGGGGAAGAATTTAATAAGATCTGGGATCCATTCACCACAGCACGCATCAGGCAGTGATCTCAAAGCATGGTGGTTATTGCCATTTCACAGCTGGGGATGCTGAAACTCAGAGAAGCCAAGGGACTCACCTACGGTGACACCAGGACTAGATCCCTGACCTCTTGAACCCCAGCCTCATCCAATCTCCAGGCCACACAGCCAGTGGTGCTGTTAGAGCAGCAAGGCTGGCTGGAAAGTGTGGAGCAGGAATGCCGGAACAGGGGGGGGCCAGGGAGCCATGCCCCCCCACACTTTTAAAAAGGGGAGGGCTATGCCCTCCCACTTTTTACTAGCCGTAAGGGCGAGCGATGTTGCAGTGTGATGCTATGAGCCCACGACTGTCAGGTGAGAGTCTTCAGCACTTTTCACTATCAATCCTTTGACATTTCTTTGAAATATATAAGAAAACATCTTGAAAATCATATACACTTAATTGTCTCATTGTGTTTTTTCATTTTGCCTTAACAGTGATAATCTATGTGTAAGGAGTGGTTGTGATGAAGGTTTTTTTAAAACCTACTTGTGTATAACAGTTTTCTTAGTATACTTCCTTTTCCTCAAAAGGTGTGTGTCTAAAAATATACAAGAATATAATGCAGCGTAGGAAAATAGGCTAAGGAAGGTGTGACTGACAAATTATAGATAGATTCCATTATATTGGTTATTATTCCCAAAATTTAAAATGCAAACACTTAAGTTTACGCCGTACTGCAATGGCAACTGAGGGCTAGATACACAAAGCGGACTGGACTGAGCCTCAGTGTTGCAACACCTAACTTTAGGTCCCTTTCCGCTTAGTGGAATCCACAGCACTGAATTAAGCACCTAGGCTCCCTATACAATACATAGGGAGAGTTAGGTGCCTAAGACTGGGATCCACAAAAGCCAGCATGCTGAGCAGGGATCCACCTAAGCTATCTGACAGGAAATGCCAAGGAGATTGGAGGGGCCTTAAAATAATTTGAGCAGGGACTGGAACCCAGGGCTCCAATTATTCCTGGTACTAGCACTTCTGAAGCTTACATACATGGCCATTCTAGAATCCTGTATAGCATGGGCCAGGATTTGACCCAAGGAATGCAACAACCTACCTTGAGAATGGACCTACTAAACTAGCATTAACTCCAGATGTCTGATGCATGGATAAGGAAGACAGAAAATCAGATCCAGTGGCCCCAGAGAAATCCTGCGTTGATAAGATTTTGCTTTGTCTGTGTAGCGAAGCACTTGGTTCTGGATGATAGAGTGGCCGAGGTGTTACATCCTTCCCTTGCTCATCAAATACCTGAATATTTAAATAACAATAATAAAAATGATCTTGTGTTCTCTAAACAAATGAAAATGATATGTAGCTATGCAAGGTGGGTGAGGTAATATCTCTTATTGGAACAACTTCTGTTGGTGAAAAAGACAAACGTTTGAGCTACAAATGCAGCTATGCAACATTTAACTTTATTAGTATTAGAAGGTACAGGAACATTCACCCTAGTAGTTAACATAGGGAGGAGCAATGAAACCTCTCTGTGCCAGCATACATTGAGAGGGTAGATGTTGTTTGTACTGCTGCTCTCCCTCAAGGGGTTCAACTATGAGAGGACATCTTTAGTTTCTGCCAAGAGCTTCTTAGGAACTCTGCCAGTGGAGGCTGTTTCAGGAATATGCTGAGAAACTACAGACACCAGCTACTTGAGGCACACTTTCACCCTGATCACCACTGCTGACTTTTCAGGCTGTGCTGCTTTATAGTAACCGTCATGATGAAGAAATCTAGCAGACCTAAATTCTGGCAAAATCTGGTATAAATCAGAGGCTAGCTGGTTCACAGTGCTAATATTATGAAATTATTATGCAATTTTATTAAATTTTATTAGTCCCTCCCCTAAAAAAAATCTTTCTTTTGCAAGAAAATATACTGTAAGTGGATTGTAAGGTTTCTAAACAGAATGTTCTTGATACTTTATATTGGAATTTCTTCTCTATGTCAGCTAAACAAATACAAATGCTCCTGTCAACATATCTCATGGATTTAAACACAGGTTATTTTCAACTTAAGAAGAAAACTGTTGCTCTAAATGGCTGATTTTTCAAATCAACACAAGCCAGTAATGGAAAAAGTAAATTTCACTGCTCTATAAATATATGTATTCCTTGGCAATTTATGTTATTATGTACCCCTGTAAGTCAGTTAAATCTCCCTACTTTAGTCTCCCACTTATAAAAAGGAGATAATATCTCCCCACGTTGAGTGCTATGAGGCAATTACGATTTGTAAAGTGCCTTGGCAATACAGGATAAAAGCTCTTATAGTAATTCAAAGCATTATTATTACAAAATCAAAAAAAAAGAAATGTTTTTTCAAAAGAACGTTTTCTCCACTTTTTGTTTGTTTAATTAGGAGAACAATTCTTAAATGTTTGTGAAAGATGGCATATTAACAGAACTGGAACCTGACATTCTCTAAGGGTAAAAGTCATTCCCATGCACAGTGTCCTATGCGCAGCCTTAGTGTCACATTCAGGGCTAATGAAATGGATTGGATCCATGTAAGACCCCTGCATGTATGAGAGAAATGCATGTATATAATTTGCTTTAGCCTAGATTGACAATTCTTATCAGTTTGCATGGAAAACCTTAGTTGGATATTAATATAACATACTGAATTTATAAAAGTTATCTTTCATTTATTTGATCTGGAATCAAGCTTTCCTTGAGCATGTAGCTGTTTGTATACAGCCTACAACCAAATCAAGGCAAGCAAGTATAGATATGCTAGATGTAGCAAATATTTGCTATATAAGATGTGACAGAAAAAATATTTCTCTTTTTCTTTATGATGGATGAATGCATAAGATTAAGGGGGGGAAATCCTCCTTGTTTTTTCAAAAGCAAAAATGGTGGTCTCATGTACCCTGTTTTTCCCCAAGACTCCATGGGCACGGAGAACTAGCTATCTTATGACATCAAATGTACCAGTGAAACCTGTGCACCTGTAAAAGAAATTCATTTTAATCACAATTTTTTTAAAATCAATTTAACATATATGACTGATGTCCTTTTGGGATAAAAGATCTTTTGTTAAAGATTAAACATTCCTGATCCTTAAGAGCAAGGGAATCTCCTACACTAGTTCTCTGGACTTCCAAGGAATCCTCCAAAGTGTCACCTAGAAAAAAACAGGGAAGACAAGGCAGAAACTCTGTAAATTAGAAAATAAAGGAGAGGGGAAATCTCAGCCTTCCTCAGTATATTGTAAAGAAGCAAAAAGGGCACAGATATTTTGTTTGTTCCTTTGAGGGTCACTTTTTAAACACTGATCATCATCCATCCTTTCCAACGGGTTTTCTCACTTTCTGGAATATCTGCACTGGCTTCCCCTTTTCCTAGAAAGCTTACCCTTGTCACATTCAGAGTCAGAGTTACCCTGTCACGCTGTCCTCTTTTCCCTCTGCAATCCACCCAAGCTTCTTTCCAGACAACTTTTAAGATTATCAGTTAAACATAATTAGAAATATTTGGTATTGAAAAGTTCATTACCTGAATGGTATGCCTACTCCCTATAAGAGACCCCTTATCCATGGTTTTGCCATCAGAAGCCATCAGTATGCTTCTTCGACTCAATGATCCAACTCTGTTTGGGTTGAAACCACTAACATAGCTCATTCGTCTTTGGCTGCTAGTTCCTGAAATAGATGTCGTCTTCTTCATATTTAACTCCAGCTTTGATGTCCTATTTCAACCAAACAAAATATGATCAAGAAATTTATATTGACTATTTAGCAGATGAACAGTATAAAGCTGTAGTGAAATTGTGGATGTCTACTACAAAATGTCAACTTCACAAACACAGAAGCAAATGTTAACTGTAAAATAACAGAATAGAAGAAATGCTAAAGTTCTTGTCTCTTTATGGGGCTAAGTGTGGTGAAAGGCAACTGGTATGGAAATGAAGGACCAAGAAGCACAGTCTTTGGATTAAAATGTAGGATTTGGATTCAGGCCACGTAGGTACAGTTCTCAACTCTATCAAAGATTTTCTGCTGGAGTTTGGTGAATCATATAGCTGTGCTTTTGTTTTTCTATCTGTAAAATTAGGGTTCCCTCTTTCACAAGGCAGCTGTGAGGTTTAGTCCATTCATTGCTCTAAAATGCCCTGAGATCCTTGTGTGGAAGATGCTAACTGCAAAGAAAGCTTACTGGTAGCTAGGTACTCCAGGGATGGGTGCACTTGAAACGTACCACATAGATCAGATAGGAGAGATATCTTGTAAACTAAGGTTTCAGAGTAGCAGCCCTGTTAGTCTGCATCCGCAAAAAGAACAGGAGTACTTGTGGCACCTTAGAGACTAACACATTTATTTGAGCATAAGATTTCGTGGGCTACAGCCCACTTCATCGGATGCATGAGTAACCAACAAAACCCCACATTCTCAGTGCAGATTTATAGCACTGGGATGGAGCCTGGTCTGCCAGGATTAGCAGAGACAACCACTAGCTCGAGCGCTGTCTGCAGGGCCGGTGCAAGGAAGGTTTGCGCCCGAGGCAAAACTTCCACCTTGCGCCCCTCCCCCAGCTTACCCCGCCCCCCCACGGCAGCTAACTCAGCCTCCCACCCGGGGAGCCCAGCACCACCCCCAACTGGGGAGCCCCCCCGCAGTAGCTACCCCCCCTCTGCAGCTAACCCTGCCCGGGGAGACCCCCCCTCTGCGGCAGCTAACCCCGCCCGGGGAGCCCCCCCCAGCTCACCTCGGCTCCGCCTCCTCCGCTGAGCACGCCAGCGCCGCTCTAATTCTCCTCCCCTCCCAGGCTTGCGGCGCCGATTGGAGGAGACTTAGAGCGGGGGCTGTGTGCTCAGCGGAGGAGGCAGAGTGGAGGTGATCTGGGGCGGGGAGCGGTTCCCCTGTGCGTCCCCCCCGTTACTGTGGGCGGCCCTCCCCCCGCCCCAGCTCACCTTCACTCCACCTCCTCGCAGGGATGGCATGTTTGTAGAAATTTTGGTGATGCCCAGAACCCGCCCCCGCCCAAACTCCACCCCCCACCTGCCCAAGGCTCTGGGAAGGAGTTTGGGTGAGGGAGGAGGTCTGGGGTGCAGGCCCTAGGCAGGGGACTGGGGTGCAGGGTGCAGGCTCTGAGAGGGAGTTTTGGGATGGGAGGGGTGCAGGGGTGAGGGCTGTGAGGTGTGGCTGCAGATGAGAGGTTTGGAGTGTGGGGGGGCTCAGGGCAAGAGTAGGAGTGTGGGGGTAAGGGCTCTGTCTGGGGCTGGGAATGGGGGATTTGGGGTGTGGGAGGGGCTCAGGGCGGGAGTAGGAGTGTGGGGGGAGAGGGCTCTGGCTGGGATTGGGGATAAGGTATTTGGGGTGCTGGAGGGGCTGGGGCAGAGGGTTGAGGGTGCAGTGGGGGGGTTAAAGCTCTGGCTGGGATTGTGGGCTCTGGGGTGGGGCAGAGCTGGGGATGAGTTTGGGGTACAGGCAGGCTGCTCTGGGACAGGGGCCAGAGACGACTCCCCCCCAGCCCTTTCCCTGCCAGCAGCAGCAAGCTCTGGGGGAGGAGTCCCCCTTTCCTGCACCCCCAGCAGCACACTCACCATCACCACTGTCACTGCATGTGCTCCTAGGGTCCCTCTCAGGTCCTGGAATCTCCCTTGCCTCCCCCATGGTGGGGCGCTGCCTGTGCCTCCTCCCCTGCTGTTGCCCCTGACTGTAGCCTCACTGGGGGTGAGGGATGGGGGTGCCTCCTTGCCCAACATGGGACAGGAGCACTGACTGCAGGCAGGGGGGTCCCCTGTGCTGCTGGAGGGTCCCATTGGAAAATGAAAGGGTCTGAGAGGGAAGGGCAGGCTCAGAGTCAGTCTGCCCTGGCAGTGGAGCAGGGGGGCACTAGGACCCTGCGGCAGCAGTTGTTGCAGGGAAGCAGCATGGAGGAGACAAAGACAGACAGGCTCTGCTCCGGGACAGAGAATGGGGCGGGGGAGACTGTGAAAGGCGGGGGCAGCAAATCAGGGCCAGAGGACACTCGGGGAAGGCGTGGGGGGGGCTGCAGGTGGGGCCGGGGGGGGGACACACAGCCCCAAGTATTGCTGGAGCTGGGCCCCTGGCTCTGAATATTGCTGGTGCCCGAGCACCACGTGGATCAGCTTTTAGGTGCCCCCAACCACTAGGCGCCCTAGGCGGCCGCCTAGTTTGCCTAAATGGTTGCACTGGCCCTGGCTGTCTGAGCAGCCGGGGCTTGTGGAGATGACAGGTCCCCAGCCTGCCCCTGTGCCGTGTCCTCTTGAGCCCACTGCCCGGCCGGTGGCCAGTGACCGACACAGGACCCTGCGGCGGGACACTCACAAGCTGACCACGACGCTAAGGCTCTTGCCCTTGCCGGCCTGGGTGGAGGAGGACATGGTGCTGGCGGGGCTGGGGGAGGGGGCTCGGTGCCCGTGTCCCGGAGGGGGCGACTCTCGATACAGCTCCGGTCCCAGCGGCCCTGCGCTCTCCTGCTCGAGCCCAGAGGCAGCGTGTTTACATGGTAACCATGGCACCCGCAGTCCAACGTGCGCCCAGTTGATTGGCTGGCAGAGAGGGATGGAAACACAGGGTAGGCGCTGCAGTGAGGTAGGTTGTTCATGACTGGCAGCCCGCTGTGGCTCTCGGCTCCCCCACACAGGGGCCAGGACCCGCCCCCCCCCCCACCAGTCAGAGATAGGAGCCCCACACAACAGGGGCCAGGAGCTCCCCCCACACCGGTCAGGGTCCGGACCCCGCACAGCAAGAGTCAGGAGCTCCCCTCCCACACACACACACA